AAAATCACCCATTGAAAACCCTACGGGGCACAGTTCTCTGACACACATGGGGTGCCATGAGTATGCAATGAGTAGAATCTACTAATGAAAAGCCATCTACTGGGAGAGAGGGAGCAGCTGAGGACTCTAGACCCATGGAAAGAGAAGGACTGAGTGCTGGTGGCCAGGAGGCAGGTTTTCAGAATGTGCCCTTTGGTTGTTTAAATTACTATATATTCCTGAGTGTTTTTGTGAAATACTGTTGAATGATGATGCACAGAGGAGATTGTAATCATTGCAATGAAACAACGGTGTAAAGTTCTCCCATGGAAACTATCACTCAGTTCACACACACAAAAAGCCGTCCATTGGAAACCTGTGGAGTACAGTTCTACTCTGACATATGTGGGAACACCATGAATGGAATCTATTTATGAAAAGTCAGTCACTGAAAACCCTGTGGAGCCCAGTTCTGATGTGATATACAAGAGGACACCATAAGTGGACACTACTTCTGAAAAACCATCTGGTGAACACCCTGTGGGGCACAGCTCTCTGACACACACAGGGGCACCATGAGTAGAAACTGCTTATGAAAAAATCATCCACTGAGGAACGCTATGGAACACAGTTCTACTCTACACACATGGGGCATCTTGAGGGGAATCTACTTATGAAACGTCCGTCACTGAAAACCCTGTGGAGCACAGTTCTACTCTGATATATATGGGGACACCATGAGTGGAATCTACTTATGAAACATCAGTCACTGAAAGCCTTGTGGAGCTCAGTTCTGATGTGATTCACATGAGAACACCACGAGAGGACGCTACTTCTGAAAAAGACATCCACTGAACACCCCATGGGGCATAGTTCTGATGTGATACGTACAGGGGTGCCGTGAATGGAATCTACTTATGAAAAGTCAGTCACTACAAACCCTGTGGAGCCCAGTTCTACTCAGACACACATGGGGGCACCATGAATGGACTTTACTTATGAAAAATCGCCCACTGAGAACCCTAGGGAATATAGTTCTCCTCTGACACACACAGGACACCATGAGTCAGAGTCCACTCTACAAACTATTAAACTACCAAATTCGGAGAGAATTAGCTGAGGATTTCTTCAAATAAAGAGTTGCCCTTGTATACCAAAGCTTTGGTTTCTAGATCATTTATTATGATGCACTCTTTCCTGTGAGTGGAAGAATGATGTCCTCATCAAAGAGGGCAATCCATCTTTAAAGCTCTTCAGTCACTGGGGACGATGACTCAATGTGGCAAAATCCATCTTTCCAGCATCCCAAGAACATAGTTACTAATCAGTATCAAGAGATAAGAACCAGAAAGCATCTGTGGTTCTAGGGATTTCGCAAGGATTTCAGAAGGTTTATGTTCCTCTCATAGCCTGTAAGGAGTTCTGGGAGCGTAGTGGTTACAAATCGGGCTGCTAATCTCACGGTCAGCAGTTCGAAACTACCAGCTGTTCCATGGGAGAAAGATGAGGCTTTCTTATCCCGTAAAGATTTACAGCCTCGGAAACCCTGTACAGGGTTGCTATGAGTCAGAACCGACTCCACAGCACAAAACAACAACAAAAACATAGCCTGTAGCAAGATATATCAACCTCAGCACAACTGCCATTTGCTGTTGTTAAGAGCAATGGAGTCGGTTCTGACCTATAACAACCCTGTTTAGGGTTTCCAAGGAGCAGCTGGTGAGCTTGAACTGCTGACCTTGCAATTCAAACTAACTTTGCAGTCCAGCGCAGTGACCCACAGCACCACACTAGGCAAGACAATTCTTTACTGTGGGCTGTGCATCGTTGGAAGTTTAGCATCATCCATAGCCTGGTGCCTGCAAATAGCACAACTCCTTTTTCCCCAAGTTGTCACAACCGCACACGTCTCCATGCATTATTCAGTGGCCCCTGCAGGCAACTTTGCCCTTCAATGAGAACCGCTGGCCTATGATACCCCAAGCACCTGGGCCTTGCTCTTCTCTGTTGGTGGGATAGTGTAGGAGTGAATGTCTTCAAAAGAAAACACAAGAGAAACGGAAAAGCTATCTATGGAGAGTTTAAAATGACAGGCATCGGTCTGATGAGTTGGTCACTCACACAAACCCACAGCACAGGTGACCCTATGCATTAACAGGTAGAAGTAGACACACTCGTTCATGCACACACACACACACAGGCCAGGAAACACAAATATGATCTATGCCCATGAGCATCTCCCTTCCCACCACCTGCTCAGGGTAGCTGGTCCTGGGGCATGAAACAGACAGCCAGGAGGAGAGTTGTTAATGACGTCATTACACGTTGAATTGCATGCTCTTCCTCATCACTGGATACAATAACTGCTCCTCTTCTTAGACTGTACCAGTCACCACATGTGTCTAGGTTGGCAGGAAATCCAGTACGCAAGCACACGGGAAGCCTCCATATGGTCCTAACCCCCCACCCCCGAAATCAGAGCTCATGAAGTTTCAGCAGGCCCGACCTCTCTAAAAGTCCAGGGGACAGTGACACTGCCAGGCTCTGCTGCAGACTCCAGGGTCCCACTTTGCTCCTGGCATTGCTACTGCAGTGACAGACAGCATGGCCATAGAAAGCTGGTCCCAAATGGTCCTCTGTGCATTTGTCCTTGGCTGTGAGGTCAGACACACTCTCGTGAATCTCCAGGATGGGTGGTTGGGCCCACAGGGGCTCCCCACAATCAAGTAGTTCAGATGTTGAAGCTTGATCACTCCTCCCACTGCTGATAAATGAGCATGAGGTTCCTCTTGAGGGCCCTTTGCTGGCCAAGGGGCTTAATTAACATCAGCTGTAGCCACTAGAAAGGTTCTAGTTCAATCCAGCTATACTGAACGGATGGGGTTCTCATCCAGGTTGCTGTTGGGCTAGGGTTAGGGTTGGGGTTAGGTAGGAGACCTTATGGCCGCTAACACATTTTCTGAGTCCTTCTCAAGTTTTACAATTCCATGATCCATGACAGCAGGTACTTGTGAGATTCATATGTACCTAACTTTGAGGATCTCTCTAGTGTTGTGGAGATTTCAAAGGTCTTTCTGTGCTTCACCAGTCAGGGAAGTATCTATCTGCTTTTTCTCGGGTCTCACAGATGGTGCCAAAGTCCTCATATGTCCTTCATTAGAGGAACAATGCTTTCTACTTGGACCCCAAGCAGAAACAGACTCTTTTCATCAAAGGGTAGAACGGGTGGGCAGGCAGAGAACTCAGGAGAGAGAGAGGGGGGCCATAAGCACCAGGAAAGCCCAAGGAAGCTGTGTCTGGTAATGCCAAATGTGGGGATTGTGCAGGACACGTAGAGGCTGCAAACCTCTGTAGCAGGTCTGTGCACAGAGACTCGGTACTTAGAGGAAAGTTAAAGCAACTGCAGCCTGGAGATAGTAGAAAGGGTCTTACTACAGTTAGAGTGTCACTTCACTGTGTGAGTGTGCACGAAAGGGTTGACTCAGAAGGCTTTCAAATCCTGCACATGCCAAAGAAAGTTCGAGCCCTTGATACGTTCTCAGATGATAACTTACAAAATCTTGGCATAACCTGCCTGGTAAGAATGTCAGTATTTATCTGGGGCCTTGTGCCATTCCACAATAGTCTATTCTGGCAATGCCATTTATGGTGGGGCCTCTCTGCAGAAGCTGGAGATGGAGGATCAGTCACACGGACACTCCATGAGTATGTGTACAACCCCTAATCAAAATCCTTGGAGCTCAGGTAAGCTTCCTCAGTTGACAACACTTCATACATGTGGTTACAAATCACAAATCATTGCAAGCAGACTTGAGCACTTGTCCATAGACTCCCACCAGAGAGGACAGCTGGATGCTCACAGCTGGTCTCCCTGGCCTCTGTCCTGTGCTCCTTTTACCTTTGCTAATTTAAATGTGCATCCTTTGCTGTACTAAACTGTAGCATTGAGTGTAACTGTGAGTTCCATGAGTCCTTTTAGAAAATCTTTGAACCTGAGGGTGGTTGTGGAGATCCCCTACTATGGTAGGACACACGGAAGAGGAATCAAGAACACACTTCAACAAAACCAGCTTCTCCTCAAGAATGGCATCACTGTCTCCTACCAAAGGCACTTGGGGGTTGTCGAGATTCCACAGTATGGCACCTCAGAATTGCTGCATATAAGCAACTTTTACCTTCAGTTCTACCTTCAATATCTTACCCACATTCAGGGGAGAAAAAACATGTTGTTTTACAAAACAATCACTTTCAATTAATTGCAAATCCAGGGTAGGATGAGGGGATGTTGCTTGAATTCCTTGCTATGCCACACTGATTTCTCGAAGCCTCACACAGACTTGCAGATGTTCTCAAGACATTTCTGCTTTAATGCTGAGGGGGAAATGAAAGAGCGAGACATCAAGATAATGAGAAGGAAAAGGCATGGTGCCATAAATCAAAACTTGACAGTGTCATAAACAAGCCAGGCTCCTCCAGGAGACATTGTCTGGGAGTCACTGGAGTCAGTGTTAGGGAGTTCTGGGGGGTGCCTGCATGTGTAGGGTGCTCGTGCAAAGCTGTATTAGGAACAGACACTGGTTTCTCTAGTCTCTGCCCAGGACTATTATCTATGAGTATCTACCTGGATCTAACTCATCCCCCAGTTCTCAGAGAAGGTCATCATGCATTGTAAAATCGAGGGATAGCACAAGAGAGGGAAACTCTGATGATATATTGACATACAGCCTGCAACAATGGCTTCAAAAACACCAATCACCGTGAGGCCAGCTCAGGACTGGACAGTGTTTCATTCTGCCGTACATAGGCCCGCCATGAGCTGGTTCTGACTTGACAGCACCATACCCAAGTTAATCACATTGATACATTTTCTGGAATCTTGGTGTGTTGTGGTAGGAGAAGAACCAGACAACTAACCTCAAGGTCAGTATTTCAAACCTATCAGCCGCTCCTCAGAAGCCCTATTCAGGGTCGCTATGTGTTGCAGCTAACTGAGTGGCACTTACAACAACAATGGCAATATGTTTCCCGAATATTTATAATATGTTGTTTGTGGAAAGATTTTAACATGGCAAGGATAAAAGAAGAGTTATTCAATTATACCAGAGTCCTGGTGTAGTGCTATAGGATAAACACTTGCCTTAAGGTTGGTTTGAACCACAAGGTTGGCAGTTCAAACTCACTAGTCACTCCTTGGAAACCCTATAAAGGGTTGCGGTGAGTCAAACTCACTCGATGATGTTTAACAACATTCAATTATAAGTGTTCACAGGATTTCCTGTTCTCTTCCCCACAGCAGTTAAAGGAGTTCTTCCCTTGACTTCTGATTTCTGAGGATGTATTCCTATTACCTGGTGTGGTGCTGTAGGCTAAGCACTAGACTACAAGGTCAGTTTGAACCTCAAGGTCTGTGACTCAAACCTACCAGCCGCTCCTTGGAAACGCTATACAGGGTCTCTATGAGTTAGAATCACAGCACTTAACAACAGCAACTCTCCTAATACCTGACCCTCGGGATGTTAGCTGTTGTTGTTGTTAAGTACTGTGGAGTCAATTCTGACTCATAGAGATCGGGTGTAGGGTTTCCGAGGAGCGGCTGATGAGTTTGAACCACCAACCTTGCAGTTCAAATATAACTTACAGTCTTATCCTGCAGTACCACATCAGGACTCCAACACCTCCTAATAGCTAGCCCTTGTGATGCAGAATGAAAGCGGAATTTGAAAGAGAAGACGAGTGGAATGATGGATTCCATGAGAAATAAGAGACTTGACTTGAGAGAGAAGAAAAAATAGAAGCAAAGTGAGAGCGAAATGGGCCAAGGCAGTAAATGGAAACAGGAGTGTAATTGAGAAATAGGTTGGAAAAAAAAACAGAGAGAGAGACTTTGAGACGGCAGCTGCGGGAGGCCAGGGCAAAAGAGTAGGAAGAGTTGTTGTTTTGTTAATTGTTGCCATTGTTGATGTTATTATTTAGTGTCGTTGAGTAGGTTCCAACCCATAGCGACCCTGTATAAGGTTTCCGAGGAGCAGCTGGTGAGCTTGAACTCCCAACCTTGCAGTTCAAATGGCTTTGTAGTCTGGCACATTACCCCACAGTGCCACACGATGTTGCCATGGATTCCCTCAAATCCCATTTGATGTTTTTTTTTGTTTTGTTTTGTTTTTTTTTGAGAGCCACAGGAGAGAATGGGTGGCTGAAATGTCTGTTGTTTTAATACAAAGCATTTTCCAGACTGGGTCCTATGAGCACCAGCTTCTATCTGGTTACATTAAGAAAGAATCTTTCACATGGTTTTAATACAATTTTGTGAAGACTATTTTTAGAAGACTAGATTCCCTTTCCCAGATAGTCCAGGCTAATGGCACAACTAGAAGGCTAAACCACTGGTTTGGTGGCCACACAACACATCCTGTCCACTACTGTTTGCCAGAATAAAGTGAGGCAGATGTGTGGCATTTCCCCATGGTGGGAAGAGGATGAAATGAAGCATTGAAGTCATTAGGACAAGAAAAAAAGATGTCCTCTCACCTACAAGAATGTCTGGTGGCACTGTAGGATCAGCACTGGACTGCAAACCACAAGGTCGTCGGTTCAAACCTACCAGCTACTCCTCGGAAACACTATACAGGGTCACTATGAGTCAAAGTGGACTTGATGGCACTTAGCAACAATGACAATTTACCTACTCTTGGAGTCCTGGTGTGGTGCTGTAGGGTAAGCAATGGATTACAAGGTCTGTTTGAACTGCAAAGTCGGCAGCCTAATCTTACCAGCAGCTCCTTGGAAACCCTATATAGGGTCGCTATGAGTGAGAGGCATAGCAATGGCACTTAACAACAACAACATTTGCCAACTCTTAGCACTTCATATTGCATCAAATCATTTGTATGCATTTTGTTTTGATCGGGACTTCTAGTGTTTATATGGGGTTCTGTCTTATTTTGATTGTCTTATTAGTCCTGGTGTGGCACTGTGGTTTAATGCACTGGACTGTAAAATGTTTGAACCACAAGGTCAGTGGTTCAAGCTCACCAGCCACTCCTCAGAAACCCTGTCTAGGAGCGCTATGGGTTGGAACCAACTCGACGGCCCTTAACAACAACATTAACTTACATGGAAACAAAGAGACATTAAGATGCAACAATACTAAGTGTCCATGGCTCCTGCTTTTCCTCTATACTTCATTGAAAACATAAAACTGTTTGGTGAAAGGGCATCAGAAATATCCTCTTTGTCTGGACTGAATGCTGGTTAGGTGAGCGGCACCATTCTTTCTGGTCGCTGTCAAAGCATGAGGGTCGTTCAGAAGTATGGGACTCTCTTGTAGAGTGCATTTATGGCAAAGACACAACATAGCCAAGCTGGGTACTTACTATGGGAGTGGACCACTCTTTGTACCCTCTGACAGATATATGTTGCATTCTTCAGAAACCAGGAGTAGTATTCCAGACAGTACCTACAGATGTAAATCAGGGTTGGGAGCAGTCACTACCCTGTGAAGGTTATGAGAAGACAGCCAGACTCACAAAACAAATGACATCAATGTGAACAAAAGGCTGAGGATTCACAGCCAGGGAGCCTGGCTCCTTCTTTAGATGGTATGGCAGGAAAAGGGGCAGGAAGACCTCCATTTGTGAGAACACATGTCTCATAGCTGTAACTGAAATTCCCTACCTTGGAGACCTGGTAGAATAAGCACAGGACAGCTAACTACAAGGCCAGTGGTTTAAATCCATCAGCCATTCCTCAGAAACTCTATACAGGGTCACTATGAGTTAGAACTAACTTGACAGTACTTAACAACAACACAACACTCTGATTGGGAGGATGTCCTAGTGTGGCGCTGTAGGATACGCACTGAACTGCTAACCACAAGGTCTGTGGTTCAAACCCACCAGCTGCTCCTTGGAAATCTTGTACGGGGTCACTAGGAGTGAGAGTTCACTAGACGGCACTTCGCAACAACAACAGACCAGGAACCAAACTAGCCGGGCCTGACACGCTCCATCCCAGAGTCCTCTCACCCTCAGTGAATAGGGGGCAAATGAGCGAATCATTGTCGGTGGTTACTGCTTTGTATTAAGTGGAGTCAAAGTCACGTCAATATGAAGAGCGTGTCCCCCTTATATAGATTATTGCTTGCTGTTGAGTCGATGTAGACTCCTGGCGACCCCGAGTGTGCAGAGGAGAATTGCTCCTCAAGTCTTTTAAGGATGTGCCCTTTTGTAAGCAGATCACCAGACTTTAATTCCAACATTTTGACTAGTCAGCACTTTACTTACTCTTTATGCCACTTGCATAACAGAGACTGTGCATAACTGCCGTTGAGTGTGTTCTGACTCATAGAGACCCTGTATAGGATTGCCTATGAGTGGCTGGTGGGTTTGAACCGCCAACCTTATAGCCTAGTGCTTTTCCTACAGTACCACGCCAGGACTCCTTCACAGAGACTAAATGGGCCATTTCTCCTGCAGAAAAGACTACATGGTCTTAGAAGAAAACCAGTTAATAAGATGCATGTTGTGCTTGTCTTTAGGGCAGGGGACAGCTGCAATGTCATGGACAGTGTGAGCCGGAGCTGGAGTTGATACACACACCATGCCCACCACGCCCAAAACTGCTGCTCTCCTCTGTGGAGTCCTGGGCAGAGGAAAAGTCACTGGCTCCTCTCTGAACCTGAGACAGCAGGTTTGTAAGACACCAGGAGGGAAATGGGCAGAGGTCTGTCATCCTGCAAGGAGGAATGGTATGTCTCAGAGATGGCACTAGGGACCCCAAAGAGGAAAGTGCTGTGCAAGAGCAAAGAATTGGTGAGAAAGTGAACTTAGGGAATGGAATTCTGTCCATAACGGACTTCCTCTTAAGATATAGTCAGGTGCTGTTCTTCCAACCCTTGAACCTCCCTGGGAGGAGTGACCACTCCTCATGGCATTACCCTCCAACTCTGTCCTGTTGCGGGACACTGACCTGAGCCCTCCAGTAAGGAGCTGCTTCATCGTCGTCTCAGTTGAGTGTGTAGTTATTTAACCATGGGCAGATTGGTGATGTGGGACAAGCTAAAGTCATAGTCCCCAGCCCATGGTGGTCTGTAGGCCTGGATTGCTAGATGGAGAACAATTACAACCCACCTCTGACTACTCAGCCCAAGAGACCCTGGGACCCACTCCACTGCAAAGAATGAAGGGCCTGATTTCAAGGATTCTATATGCTTTTTTGAGGACTAAATTTGAGGACTAAGGTGCACCTGACCCAAGCCATAGTATTATTTATAACCTCATATGC